TTACACGACCGGTCATCATAATGTTTAAACTAAGATCAATTTCATCAACTGAAAGACGAAATCTTTATTCATTCGCTCTAAAAATATACATACATTTTAAATTTTTATAAACGTTAACTGCGCTACTATTAAATATAATAGGAGATAATTGTGAGTTACAATCAATTTGATGTACCAACAACAATGGTTAAATAGAAAACCGACAAAGATTCAGATTACATAAAGGCTTATACTCGTATGATGTACATACATACGTCAGATCACTAGATTGTGATTGAATTACTATATACATATGCTTGTTAAATAAAGTTAATTGTTATCGTGGAACTGTTGCATTGTTTAATATATTTATCATATAATATGTAGCATACTGTATGCACGTCAGTCTGATTCTGAACATCTCAATTGTTGGCAATTGGAACATAAACAGATTTAGAGAAAAATCTGTAACATTTAAAAATAATTACGGAATCCTTCGACGTCATTTGAAGAAAACGTGCGTTATAAAAATAGTGACGTTAGAGCATTTTGTTAAAGAAATAATAAAAAAAAATATTTTTCAATATAATACATAATTCTTTATATGCGTCACGTGCGTTATCATTTACTGTTGTCGCTGCCTCAGTATTAAATACGTCTCTATCACAAACCGATATTACTTTATATATTTACTATTAACGTTACTGTATACTTCATTTGAATTCTATTACTTTTAATGTTTTCACATAATAGAAAATCCTATATAAATGCAATATTATAACCAAACGTAAGACAGCCTTTGAATTAGCAAAAATAAATAAACTCATTTCATCGCTAAGCATCAAAAATAATATATATTTTTAAATTATTTTTAAGCTGATAATAAAAAATATATTAATTATGATTTAATTGTCAATAATCGGTTCTCATTGTATGCTTGTAATATTCGTCAGTGGCGCTAGTAAAAGTTGCAACAACAAATGTGCGTTATAAAACACGACAGTTGAACCGAAAGATACTTCAGTTGGCCGGAGAACAGCGCAAGGTCAAGAGCACTAAACCTATAGCGACCACACGGCCCGGCGGTGTTCGACACTCACAGACAAACAAATAAACAATATATACAAATATATATAGAGAGAGGAATCAGAAATAGAACTAATTCGGTGTCAAACCAATACGACGGACGCGGATTACTTCTTCAGCTTGTGAACTAATTTCACGCGAAAAAAAGACGTGTTAGAGAAAAATAGATTTGTGAAGAATATTCAATAAAATATAATATTATTGTGAACAGTGAAAGTTTCAGTCACATTGGGGAATCATAAGGATACTGGTTTAGAGTGAGTCGCTTTTAATTTACTATTTATATATTTAATAAAATTATAATATATTAGTATAAATTCAATTTAAAAGAAAACGATTATTTTTGTTTATTTGAGTTCCTATATATAAACATATATATATATAGAGCACATATATTGCTCAGAGACAATCGTCTCACAATAACTAATAAAATTATGTTAATTTCGACTCGGAATATTTATTTTTAGATAACATTATATTATATTTAAAAATATTTTAATGTAAAACAGAAAACAAGTTTATTTTGTTTACAAGATTATTTTACATAATATATAAAAGGGCATTTTATTGTCACCAAGATAAAAAGTTTATAAGGGAATCAATAAAATTCACGAGTACGACTCATTAATTCTTTTCTTCCGTTCGTACATTTTTAATAACATTTGATTTTTCTAAAAATAATTTTATACTGAGAAACTTCGAGAATGTTCTTAAATATATAAAATACGAAGCCTTAAAATATAAAGTTAAACAAATCGTGAGTTAAAGAATGGACGGACAGAACGGTGTGTTATCAAACATGTTACGGATTACACACACACACACACACACACACACACACACACACACACACACACACACACACATAAAAAAAATGTTTATATTATATAATATACAAAAACAAAAAAGAATTATCGTAATCAGTCTCAAAGGGTCATTAACCTCGACATTTAATTTAAAGTTTAAATTTTAAAAAATTACATATATTAAATAATTTTCATTTCGCATAACCGATCCATTATTTCTTTATTCCGTGGTATTAATCTTTTCGCAGGTATAAATTGATTTGTTCTAAATATTTGTCGATGCAAATTAACTACGAACTAATTAATTATTAAAGTTTCTATGATACTTGTGCTTAATAGCATAAACATAGCGTTTTAAACTTAAATAGGTCTACTTAAAGTGGTTTTTATGGTTTTCTGATCACACTACTATAGAGTTTCAATATCATTATCTGAAATTTAGTGACACCGCGTAGAACATAATACTTCCATTGTCTCAAATGTGAGAACGACATTTCGATCTTATTAATTTAATAACAAAAAAACTATGATTGTCAGTGTTCCGTGAGGTCGCTTTCAGTATTTTAAATATTATCAATAAAAGTCATACTATTCTGTTTCATCAGACAATTTATGAAAGACTTATTTAAGATTATACAATAAGTAATCTCTGTATAATTCGAGAAGAGTCGCTAGTGGAAACGAATAAAGATTTATATTTAAAAAAAAAACGTGTCATATTTGAGTAAATCGAGCACGCTTCACGGGGACTCACGAGGACATAACTCATAGTCGACGAGCTGTGATAACACGCATTTATTGATATACATAAATATATTACTAATAGCAACTAGAGAATTTAAAAAATTACATTGTTCACTCAGAAGAAATACGTAAATACGTAAATCAGTTGCAGATAAGCTGCTGTATTTTAATATATGGCTATATAATTTAAACAAACTATTTATTGAATCAAAATCATATAAATTTTATTTAATATTTAAATTAATTTATTGCTATAATTCATAATAATCAAGCTATTCAATTTAATAAAAAGAGTTTGTTTTCCGAGCACGATCGTGTGATCAGATCAAAATTTATTAAAAAAAAACATTAACAAAAACAACTGTTAATAAATGATAATATAGATTCTGTTATTAAAGAATTGAATCAAGGCGGAAAATAATAAACAAAATACAATATAAATTACAAAAAAAGCAATTTTAACAATAAAAACGGTCAGTCAGAGTCATCTGAAAGCTGTAATTATATTTTTTTTTGTCTTTTTTTGTTTTTGTAATAGAAACAATATTCTTTCCTGTTCATTCTGATAATAGCGTTACAAGCTTTCTTCGGAGTAACCGACATACATTCAGATATACCAATAATTAATCTTAATTCTATAAATATTAATTATTATTATATACATGACGAGTACGAGATATATTTTTATCTGCTATCTTATCTTTAACATCGTATCTATTTTAAGACGTGACTTTTTTTTCTAGAAATACCACTTAGAATTAATCTCATTTTTTGTACGGTCCGCGGCGTCCCAATTAATATTTATATATGTTTTAATCTAACGTATTAACATAATAATTTCCGTGTTGGTGGCATCTTTTATATTTTGTTTTGTGTAAATTTAATTAGATTCATTTCTCTATAGATCGTTTTGAATACTTTAACTTGGGTCTTCTATGTGTTAGGTAAAAGAGAAAAAAATTGATAGGGCAAATATAAAAGAAAATTTCTTGCTACCATAATTGATTTTGAGTATAATTATATGAAAGATCGTTACATATCTTACATTTCCATATGGGATAGAAAGCGATACATTATTCGGGCCTCTTTACATATGTAAAAATGTACAGTATCATAATGGGAATAAGTTGTTCAGAAGGGATATATTTCAAGTTAAAATTCTAGTTGACCCAGATTAGAAGAAGAAAAGTATTATACCGATAACATATTTCAATCTCCAGCACGTTTTAATCTTTATCAATTATCTATTTTAATCAAAGTAAGCAGGTTCTGTACGTGTCTATGAATTTTTCACTTAAAATAAATTATTAAAATTATAGTACTGGGTTCAAAAACGAAAAACCCATTAAATGCTTCCTAACATTGTAAAGATGCCAACACCAATTTGAAATTCTTATATTGTAATTATTTTGTTTAGCATTGAAGCAATACTTAAATTAAAATTCAATTACAAAATAGACGTTTAATAATTTTAATATACTTTAAACAAAAAAAAACGTTTAAAAATTATTTTTCTGAACACTACCTACGTATCGAGAGGAAAAGGGTTTTTAATTTATATTATAAAAAAAAAATAATTGACAAACAGACCAAGAAATAATATAGAGAATTCACTTTGCCGCGTCTTACTTTGTTCGTGCTAAAGTCATTTTGGTTATCTAAATATTTAATTACATATGTAGTTAATAACCAAGTCTAACTCGTTCTAAACACTTCCTCTTCTATGACGGAAACAAACCACATTGGTATAGGAAGTGAATGTAGGGTATAGCTGCGTCATGTGATAGAAATAGATCTTAAGATATATATAACTTTAGAAAAAAAATGCAGACCGTTGGAGACTAGCTCTACTTAATAAACATACGAAGCCTGCTGGCTATGACGAAGTGAAAAGTACGTCGCAAAATTTAAAAGTATTTGACCTCATGTTAAAATGTGTGAAACACTAATGTTTTATAGAAAATATAAACTGAAAACTGTGAAATTATGTCAAAAATACCTGTTCTACTACTAGGACAATAGGTGTGAAAAGTTTCGTTAAATTCGGTTGAGGCTTGATTAATAATAGCTCATAATAAGTCGCGACGAACGGCTCCTTAACACACTGGACTGAACATGTTCCATTAAAAAAATTCTTGGTAATAGTTAATGATACAAGTGTGAAGGTTCATGTATGTAGATCTTGTTTGAATTGTTACAGTTTATTTATTAATAAAGTTAGGTCTACATTAATATTAATAACATGATTACTGAGGTTAACAAACCTTGAAATTGTAAATCTTTTAGAATATATTCATAAGGAAAAACATATATTTAAATACAAATTATATAATATTTTTTAGTTCTTATTGTACCTACAAAGTTATTTATATATATAATGTATGTTTGTTTGTTTTGTACACCAGGCGAGTGGCGGCGGTGCGACATCGGCGCACGCGCACTATGTTACTCAACATCAAAGGATTCTGGAAGGTCTGCCGCTATGGAGATTTATATATGGTGATTATACTTTTATATTTTAAACTATGGCTATAAGCAAATATTATTATTAAAATAATTCTCAAATACTTTTCTTCTTATATGTAAAGGAAAAATTTTTCGTTAATATATTAAGATGACTAAACAAAGAAAAATGCTCTCATTTTAATATACATATGTATAACATCTGTTATGTTCAACTGTTCAATCGAAAGTATAAAGAGCGTCCCATATTGAAGACCAAACGTTTACATAATAGCAACATATTTTACTTTTGTATGTATACTGTTAAAATTATTGTACTCAAATTATGAGTCACGTCAACAATGTTTTTGTTAGAGAAACATAATTCATATACCTATTATATAATAATAATTTTAATATAAAACAATTAAAAATTCACATCTACGCCTTCGTAATATACAACTTTGAGATTTTCCTCTTATTTAAGATAGCTTTGTAGGTTTTACAAGATATCTTTTAGAATATGTAATTATTTATATGTTTTTAGTATAACGAACGATAATTAAGTATTATGCAATACGCTCGGTCGTTGTAAAAATTCCATTTGTCATATGAAACTTAATAATATACATTATGACCGTGTCTACGACGTGATGTAACAGATAAATCTTCCTTGGATCACACGGACGGATGACGGTTAATAAGAAAATACACTAAAAATAATAATATCAAAAAACTATAATACTTAAAATACATTTCATATTTTTTATTTGTGTCAAATATAATTTTGATGAACATAAAGAATATTTTCGTTTTTATTTTAGTCAGATAACTTGGAGAGACCAAAAAATATATTTGAAGATAACTACACAAGCTATTAACTTTTAAGGTTTATGTTTCAAAATTTTTCTATTCGGTACATCAAAATGAGATAGAAAAACAATCTTTCACTATAATCATTCATATCGCGTGATGATTCAGGATAAAAATCGTTTTTTTATACTTAGCTATGACAAAATTACGAAGTATGAAAGTAATATTTATTTTGGATTCCTATTTTTCCATTAATGTATAATCACCTTAACAAAATACACATGAATAAACATAAATTTTACGTGGAATTAGTTTTTATTGCTATCGTAATTTTTATTACTAATAATTGAATTTCATCGTACTTAATTTTAAGTCAGAAATTAACATATTTCTAAAGAAAATTCATCAAAAGTTAGAAAACGGCTACTTAAATAGATACAAGTAACTATAGGAAACAAAACATTCTCTCGTCACTACTCAATAATAATATATTCTTTGAAAAATATTTTTATTTCATGTTTTAATATTTATGCTTTATGAAGAACTAATGTCACAAATTGACAACAAACTTATTTAAAGAAATATATTTTATTAATGATTCAAGACGTATAATTTCTAGAAGACGATGAAAATTATTTCTTTTAATATATGAATTATATATCAGATAGAATTTATATCTATGTTAAGACAGGTTTCAACCTGAATCTACTTTCCATTACATATTTTTATGGCTCTAATAACAAAAACATAATTATTCAATTGATATACATTCTGTTTTTTTTTAACTTAACATGAATTAATTTATTTAAATTATATGCATAATTTAAATAAAAGAGTGTTTAAAACTTTGTAAACAAATTATTAAAGTAACACTTAGAATAAAACAAAAAAATCTATGTAGTTTTGTGATAATGGAAATCTAATAAGAAGATATTTTATAAAAAACTGATCGATTTTTACTTTACACAATATGTAAGGAACGAAAAGTTAGGTTGTAATACTTAATGAGAAGTACTTTTCAGCTTCTTCTTGTTCAACCTGGCAATTTCCCAGCTTTAGCCAGGGTCTGCCTTACAAGTTGCGATTAGTTTAGGCTAATTGTTTTTACGGCCGGCCGCCTGCCTGATATCAACCCTCTTTGGGAATGCATTAATCAGTGATGTCTAAATACTCATAAAAAGTACATATGGCTCTTAAAATCACATTGGTACTTGCCAGGATCGAACCCGCGCCCTCATGCATGAGAGGCGGGCCTTTTAACCACTAGGCTACCAATGACTTATCATATATTTTATATATAGTGTTAAGTCTGGTGTAATACAATCCAGGCTCAGGATGTTTCAAATACATCGGATGTTCGAGGACGAGCTCGCGAAATAAGTTTACGCTTTTAACTATAAAAATTGTGAATACTTTGTAAATATCGCATCTTTTATGTTTAATTTTAAAACCTATTCACTGTTTTTTTGTCGTATAATGATATAACCTGTAGTTTTTTTTGTATGTATATAAAATTATTAAAAATTTATTTCATAAAATTCTTCGATTGCAAGCCAGAAGTGATGCTATTCAAACGTAAGGATAATATGGGACAGGAGTGTATTAAAGTTCTCACAGCATTAAAAACCTGTTTGAATCATCATTTTGTATGTATATAATATACATCGTGTAAGGTGGAAACGTCCAGAACTTTCTTAGAGACGAGTTTCTCTCATGATTATCATATCCATATAATATATGTATAACCTTTAAGTGTAATGTCCGTGCAACAGATAGCGATCTATTTTGATCGTCAACAATAAACTCATATTATAAAATTATAAACATCATCGATACCTAACACTTAAGACTATTATTGAAGGTCGTATTAACACTACTACCTGAAACACTATCCTTATGTTTTAGACGAGGAAATGATATTATTAACTTCACACCAAGATTGTTTCTGATTGATCTCTTTTGTCTACCAAACTACGCATAATTTGCTTATCTAGGTCTAAATAAAAACAAAATCACGTATGATTTGATATATCTAAATAGGTTTTTTTAAAAAAACCCTATACTTCATACATTGAGTCATCGCAATTGTATTTCTGTAAGAATAAACATTATAATGGAAGTAATTTTATGACAATCTCTCGTAATTGTATTATCAAAGTAATCATTTAACGTAAATTGAGAAAAAAATGCCAAGATTATACTTTTATTGATAATTGGAGTGTATAAATTTATTAATAAAATGAATTTAATAATAACAGTATATCCTGCGTCCTTAGAGCTCGTTTAAAATGTCTCATTATAAATAGTTTCTGGTACTTGTGTCAGTCGTGCTTAAGGACTTTAAAAGTAAAGGTGCTATGACCTCAAGTGAACTCAATATCTTTATGAAGTGGAGACTTGTTCGTTTAGTTGCTTGTTGACTACTCTGTAGAATGCCAACTTCTAGAACAAACGATATACATTCAGAATCCCTTGGAGTGAACATCGCTGTGAGTAAATGTGACATTATCAATTTAAAATTACCCACAAATTTGGAGGATTTTATCCAGTAGTTCCTTTAGAGTTTAGCCTCTTGGTGGATTGAGTGAAACTTGTTCTAGATTGCTGATAGTTTTCGAGATTCTTCTCTTGGTACAATATACTGATTGTGCCCTTACTCCTGAGTGACTCTTAATGATTTATATGTTGTGAGTAGTTGACACTCTTAGTCTTGTTTTATTAATTTCGTTTAAATGTCAAATATAAAAATTTAAAATTGCTCAAACGGACAAAAGCTCCTAGTGACATTAATAAAAGTAATTTTATTTAATATATTTTCTATGACATTTCTTCATCAATATATAGATCTTTTGGTAGTTTTATTTAAAAGATGCTAATATTTTTCTGTATGTGTACTATATAAGACAAACAATAGCTTCACATCTCAGAACGCGTAAAACGCTCATAACTAGACAGTTGACGGTTACGTTTTAATATGAAAAAAGTATTATCAGAGGAAATTTCAATTATAATGCCGGCTACTAGATTTATGAGAGTTCAAGACGAATGTTTAATTAACAGTAGTAATAATATAATATTTTTTAGGATAATTTAATATAATAATTAATATCTACATGAAATTGTAAAGACTCTTTACAAAGAAACGTGAACTCATTGTATTAAAATACTTATATTATGAAGTCTTGTCTTTTCTTTATAATCACTTAGCGAGAGCTATTAAATAATAAGTAATTAATGACCGATTCACTTAATGAATTAATAATTAATTTCTAGCAAATCATATTTACCGATACGGAAGGAACATTAATTAGTTGTATATAAGTATTTTTATTATAACGAGTACATATCACTAATTAATAATTATATTAATTTTGTTGTGAGTCAAAGAAAATATATATTTTTTTGTTTCATATTTTTAATGTGTTAAGATTCATCCATTCCCTGGAGGTTTTAAATGTTTCTTAAAATTTTGAATATAAAATCCGGCATTGAAAATAATTTATATATACACATCTTTTGAAATATAAAAAATAATATATGTATGTACTATAAACAATTGTTAAATTACGGAAAGTTTTTGTGTTCAACATGCGCGAAAATAAAACAAACATTTAAACTTTAATAGATTTAGAGCTCGAAAAAATTAAATAAACAAGAATAGCACATTGTCAGTACATAATAATGTTTATAATGACATTACAGCGATTCACTCGTTACGGTGGTCTCATGCTGTTATTAGACACACACACACATACATACATACATACATACACACATACATGCATACATGCACAGAACTGTAACATGCAATAACATTATGATAAGAATTTGACAAGATATTAATAGCATGATAGATTGGACGACGGAGAGGTCGAAAACAAAAAAATAATAACATTTCTGACGCAAAAACTCGAATACAAGATAAGATCGAATAAACATTTGCGATGCGTTTGAACCAGTTCATGTACATTTAGATTGGATGAAATATATGTAACTGTTTATTGAGTTTGTATGAGAACATTGTTATTTAAATATCCTCACACCGTTACTGATGATAACAAGGAAAATAATTTCACCGATTTAGACCAACCAAACTATGTAGAAGAGTAATTTCGTTTTCTTTTATATTTTCCTCGTTTTGTACAACGTCAGTATCAACTGTACGAACGAGTAATTTCCACAGTAATAACAGTTAACGTCGTCACAATAATACATCAGTGAGCCCAATTAGAGATGTTGGACACAACAATCTCGAGACACTTCATGCGTTTCTAATATGCCATACAGCTTTAGGTATTGTGTACTTACTGAGTGTCAGTAAAGGCTTAGTTTTAGATTTTTTTTATTTGATCATGACGTTGATATGGGTGGCGTCTTGGTCACTTGATTAAACCTTCTTTGGATGCACGTAGCGGTTTTTTTAAACCTTTTATATCAATTAAATATTCATTAAAAAATATGTATAAAAAACCTAATTGTTAACGCTATTAGACTTCTCATTTAACTGTATTCGCGTGATTCTAATATAATGAAAATTTACAAGATTATATATTATTGGTTCACACAATTTATTCTTGTTTTATTTACTAAATAATAAGTATATAACAATGATCTAGATATAAAATTTATTATGAGATGTCATATAATAAATGCTTCATTTATTTTGAGCACCACGTGCTGCTTTGTAATTTAAAACACGTTGTTGACAAATAGACACATTATGTGTGTGTTTGTGTACACATAAATATAAAATACGCGGAGTTATTGAAAAGATTTTGTTAACAAAAAAGCTATAAAAAAATAAATTTATTTGTGTATCAATATTAAACGCATTATTCGAAATTACACGCTTGATACACGCTAGTGCCAGAATTATAATATAATTTTTAGTTTCTATGTAGCTAGGTACCTACCTACCTATCTACCTACCTACCTACCTAGGTTAATTCATTTGGAGTATATTCTATTCTTTGGTCTATGTAAAGAAGACATAATATAATATATTTTCCCAGTCAGTGTACCTTAAAATTGCCGGCTGGCTTTTATAATGCAGCGGATTATTATCGGACGGAAATGTTTAATAGAACTTCAAGACAATGGAAACGAAAAAAATAATAATAATGTGGACACTTTGAAAATATTATTAGTGATGACAGATTCATATTATGATTAGACGAACAAAAAAATCATTTGAGATAATGAGCCGGTCAAACTTTTCACCGTTGCCTAGTGAAATAATTAGGTTGCAAATAATTTTTCCAGCTACATGTACATTATTTGGACATTAGTTGTATTAAAACACATTATTTAGACATCACTGATTAATGCATTCCCAAAGAGGTTTGACGTCAGACAGGCGGCCGGTCGTAAAAACAATTAGCCAAAACTATTCACAACATGTACATAAGACAGACCCTAAAGCTGGGTAATTGCCAGGAAGAAGAAGAAGTTGAATTAAAACACATGATGTCGACATAGTATTCTATAAAGAAAGCTGTTCAGGTTTCCACTCTGAATACCAAAGCAGATTTTTCAACATAAAAAAAATGTATAACTCTTGTTCCACTCGAGCGAGTGTTGCATATTATTTTTCCGCACCGATACCATGAGCGAGCGTTGTAGATTGCTAATGACATTTGTATTGTAACGGGGCTTGGTAACTTTCAGGTGCTGGCGGCCTTGGCGGCGCAGTCTATTAACATATCGGTCGGCTTCTGCCAAGGCTTCTCAGCTGTTCTGCTGCCCCAGTACACGAGAGATAACCCTGGGATATCATCGGAACAAACCTCATGGATTGGTAAATATTTATACTAATTATCGCCTTTAAAAATAGTCCCTTATTAATCAAATGTTATTATTATTATTATTTCTATTTACTCCACTTCTCGTCTTTCAATATATACAATTTATATATTATATAATTGATACATATTGTAGGTATATATGAAATAACGTTAACCGATATTAAATCGATTCGAAATCGATATCAAACTAAAATATTAATTTAAAATTTTTATTACATCACATTCGATATGAAAACTAAATTTCTGTTTTATAATAAAATAATATTTTTATAAAAATCATGTTTTTGTATATGATAGATATAGAATTTGACACTAAAAGAAAAAATGAAGAGGATCTATTTCAAATGATTTTAGCTTGTAGATTAGCTAGTTTTATTACAAATATTTGTAACAGTTTATAACCCAAGGCTGGTAGACATCACAAACAAACCGACTCAATCATATTATAGTGATTTAGTATATTTTATTAAATATTATCGCTGTGTACAAAGAAAGTGGAAAAGTAAATGAAGCAGAGCGTGCAAACATCTGATAACGGATATTGTTTACAGAATGTACTAAACAAAAGAGATAAAAGGGGCTCTAAGCCTCCGCATTTATTTGCAAGCACGACTCTATAAATTGGGTCAATATAAACAGATAATAATAATTGGATTTATGTTAATGAAACTAAAGATAACAGAAACTTTATGCAGAAATAATTTATATTACAAGCTAAATTGATTCATGTGATAATGAACAAATGATTAAATATTAATATTTTTTTATGACCTAATGAATTTGAAATAAGTGGTCTTATTTTAGCAACACGTTACTTTTATAACCTTTTATAAACTGGGAAAACAATAAGACGAATTGCCTTTTCTCTATTCCCGCCCTTTCCTGCTATTTCCCTATTCCCACGCCTCCCTTTTTTTCAACATCTATGTTGCGGATGTCTATGGGCGACGGTCACTAATGCCCATCAAGTAGGCCGTCTAAAAAATGCAAACATTCTTATTAAGTCATGCTTATCCTTCTCTTATTGACTGTATATTTTCCAGCAAGTCTCGGAGTAATATCGAACCCCATAGGAGCTCTGTTGGGTGGCATGATGGTGGATGCCGTCGGTCGACGGTTGCTCCTTCAATCAATAGTCCTACCGAACCTCATCGGTTGGCTGGTCATAGCTTTATCCGATACATATGTCTTCTTGTGTGTTGGACGATTCATCACTGGCTTTACTATCGGTTAGACTCTTAGCCTTACTTTGGTTTTTAAATAAAATAATTATAATGTGTATATTTATTAATTACTATTATTATATTTATTGATTTTTTTCCCGTTTAATATTTTTTAATACGTAATAACAATCTCTTCATTGGTAATGGCCTTTTTTTCTAAAGTCTATTTTCTTAAATAGCATTTTTTTATTTAATTTAATTTTAATTTAATTCAGTTGATACTAGACGATTGTTGCAAGAAGTATATTCTGTTAATTTCTTTATAGGAATGTCCACGGCGTCTTATATCTACGTAGCTGAGATTACGACTCCCGAAAAAAGAGGAGTACTTAGTGCCTTGGGTCCCGGATTGGTTTCCACTGGTATATTTATAGTGTACTCATTGGGCGCCTTCATACATTGGAGGACGGTGGCAGCTATATGTGCCGCTGTGTCTTTATTGACACCGTTCTTGATGTACTTCGTGCCGGAATCACCGCTTTGGCTGGCCTCCAAGGGACAAATGAAGGAAGCCTACAACGCAATGTTCTGGCTGAGACAGAACAATAACACAGCTCAGCAGGAGCTCATGGAATTCACAAAGGATAGAAAACAGAACGAGTCGATGACTTTCAAACAAAAGCTTGGTCTGTTTAAGAGGAGGAGCGTTTTGAAACCGTTCGCTTTGCTCATCATATTCTTCATGTTCCAAGAGATGTCTGGAATTTACGTTATTTTATACTACGCTGTGGACTTTTTTAAATCCGTTGGGACGAGTGTCAACGAATTCACAGCTTCGATAATTGTTGGAGGAGTGAGAGTGTTTATGGGGGCAGTTGGAGCTTGTCTCATCAATAGTTTTAGAAGAAAAACTTTAGCTGCTGCTTCGGGTCTTCTACTGGGAGTTGCAATGTTGGGAGCTGCTGTTTGCGACAGTTTGAATGGTCCACCATCTATTAAATTGGGTTGTATTCTTCTACACGTATCTTTCAGCATGGTCGGCTTTTTACAATTACCATGGATTATGTCTGGTGAATTATATCCTCAGGATATCAGAGGCATTATGTCTGGAGCGACCTCATGCTGTGCTTATGTCCTCATCTTCTTCAATATTAAAACATATCCACAGTTGGAGTCTTTGATGACCAGTAATGGAACGCTATATATTTTCGCCATTTGTGCTATACTTGGAGCAACATACTGCTACTTGTTCTTGCCGGAGACGAAAGGAAAGACGTTGACGGAGATCATGAGGCAGTTTGATGAAGAGAAGAAAGAGAGTGATCCAGAAATAGGATACGTGAAACATAACAGTGGAGAAGGAAAATCAATCCAAAGAAGACACAGCGCGGGAGCAGCAGTCTCATTGGAGAAGAGCAAGGAACTGGTGAAGCAGTGGACGCAGAATAATAACGACAAGAAATAAATAAGACTATTTGTGGTTTTAATTAAGTTATTGTGCTGAATTATTATTTGGTGAGGGGCGATTTGTGATTTTATGTAGTCGGTTTAAGATTTAGTTTTATTTGATACAGAGTTAATTTAATTTATAATGATACGATCAGTATTAAAGTCCGTATGACTGAGTTAGGTTAAGTGAGTGATACATTCCATTGTGATAAATATTTTACATTGTTACATACAGATGATAAATGTATTTAGATAATATTCTATTTTAATATTGTTATATAGTATATATATTTATAATATTAGATTAATATTTAATATAATTTATTTAGTTATATTGCAAGGGACATAAAAATGTAGCCTTCAAAGACTGTAAGGAAAATAGAAAGATCAGACATAGATACTTTTATAAAATTTTGTATGCATTTCATATTGAGCTTATGTTGTTTGAATATGATACTTATGTAGTTGTCTTTAGAGCTCTTTATTTTTATTCTCGTAGCATCATAACAGGGTTTACGAATTTAGTTACCAAATTAATGTAATTTAAAAGTTTTGTGATGATTTGTGTACTATGAGCGAGTATTAAATTAAATCATGTTTCTTAAAGGTGTCTATCATTTTCATATCCTAATAATAAAATTTAAACAATGAATTACTACAAAGTTCAAAAAATACAAAATCCAATAAGTTAATCAAAAATTTTTTTTAATTGTTAATTTAAAACGAAGATGATTTTTAAACTTATCCTTAAAAGATTAAATATCACTGGTGGGTATATTAATAATTTTTATATAAAAAAATACACTATAGTATAAAAAGGTTAAAATTAATTGTATTCGTAACTATTGAATGGAATTTCAACATTCAGGTTTAAGCTCAAAAACTAACCACGGTAATACAGCGCCATCTTTTGATACGGTAAAGAATTAATTACAGACTACACCTGAGTCATATTTCCTTGAAAGCCTCTTAGTGTTACATTCAAAGTACAGATGTCACCTTTACGATGAGATACTAAGAATAGCGAAGTCTTTCTTAACACCGTATATGTATTATTTAGTGAATATAAAAAAAAAACAATATAACCGAATTTTTGGATAATGTTTTAAATAAAAATAAAAAGTCCAATTATTCATTAAAATGGTTTTCCTAGACAAAATATATGAAACCTTTCTGAATTCCATGGATCAAAATGCGAGTTCCGGGTCCATCGCGTTGTAGGAAGAGGAGCTTCAACAGTGCCTGGGACTTGCGACCTAGGTGTATGTTTAAGGGCCCCTATCTAAAACGCGTAAAACGCTCAAGTTACGCTAAGTTTTTTAGTAAATTGTGTAGAGATTTAGATGTTATACCTCTCGCTCCTATTTCTCCGCGTAAAAATTTACAACCAAACTATTCTAAGTGAGTTCGAGAGTGAGCTTTAGGGATAGTGGTTTCCCAAGGAACCGTGAGCTCTATTAGTACAACGCGCTTTGAAATTCGCGAATATAAAAAAATGTCTGGTCTGGATGCGGATGCACAAATATCTTCTGGGATTTCGTTTTGTTTCTCATACGTATCCATCATTGTAGTCCAATACGAAGCCGATTTAATGATAGACTAAGGTTTGATGTTTGATTATATAGCCCTAGTGCCTTCTCTTACAAAAAGAATCGATAGCTTGTTTATGGTTATTTCGTTTTGGGCTCTGGCTACCGAAAGACTAACCGTTTCACGAATGATTTCTAGAACCCTATCGTGAGGACGTGAGTATTGACCGCTATCCAGGAGAACCTTATGTTCTACCAGCAAATGCCAAGCAGTTTCAATTGCCTCCCCGCAGATGTAGTATAACCACATAACATAAGCAAAAAAACTGTTTATATTAACTAATGTGAAATGTATGAAGAGTTATCAACAAGAAACAATCACGTTATCATCCCTAAATCAGCGTTAAAATCTTCTTGGTTTTGTTTATATGCGAATTGCGATGGGAAGTTTTCAATAAGTCGTGATATAAAAATATTTCACTAACCTCGTCTGCGGGATACCATACTTGATGCCGACGCCGACACGAGGAAGTGCCTTGATCACTTTCTTTACTGTGGCTTGGTCGGGGAAGGCGAAGAATATGGACGCTGGAAGAATTAAAAATATTTACGTAATTAATAATGTCCACTACATAATGTTATTAGTATAAGGAGATCTTTGAAGCGCTCTTTTTCATTAAAAACCAAAGAAACATTTACTTCACATTATCTGACGCTGTAGAAGATGTTATTACAACCTATCCTCATAATTAAGATCAATGAAATACTCATTTCTTTCTAGTGTGAACATATTTATTAGGAACAAAACAGTCAGAATAAAAGGGCATTGTATTGATATGACTGTCAGCATTGAAAAAGAAAAGTGAACTCAATATTTGGTTCATTAATTGGACTTAAATTTATAAATACCGTGCTAGAAGAACGTAAGCAAATACTTGTTCTTTTTGTAATGAGTAACAATTTTTTCGTTAAAGTTTTACATATTTATTTCATATGTACATTATACTAGAATATAAAATTGTTTATCTGATTTGATAGGTACAGATGAAAATCTACTTGAGATGTTAAAATTGTTAAATATCGTACGTACTCCGACTTGCTAGGAACATCTCTATAGCGACGCTCTGCAGTAAGTAACGTCTGGAGAATATGGCTCGTATCTCGCTGAAGTACCATTTTCCGTGCAGGTGCTCGCAGTACTTCAACACCTGGAAGTTAAGAACAGCTGTTTATTTCAAACTGCTGGAAGAAGAGTTACAGCAGGCAGTAATACTAAGACAATAGGGAATATAACACCTGCAAAACTCATGTTAACATTACTAAAATTTAAAAAATCAAGTAATTAAATTTACAAACTATGATAAAGTTTTGTCATTTAAGCTAATTATAATATTTCACAGTCATTAAGTCACTTTTCTATACAATAAATAATTTAGATAAAACCAAGACAAATGTATACATAATTAATAAATAATAATTATACGGTGAAATGCTTTTGATCCTTAGTATTTAAGGGTAATTATGCCATCTTTTATTGTAAAATTATACAAAATTTTACATATTATATGATTAAAGATAAACTAATGAGGAGAGTTTGTTGTTTAAATATATAATATAACACGAAAATAACAAGACAAAATCATTATCCTACATACATGGTCTGTCCGTGATCACGGTTGCTGAAAAGTAACCAAAACGTCGGGAGTATGTAGTTTTTTACAAAATAATATAGCACGTGTAGTATGTCCGAAAAATATAAGTTTCATCATTAAACTATTTCAAAACAAATAAGACTAAAAAGTGTCGTGAAAAATTTACAATTTTGAGCACTAAAAACTGTTTTGATAATTGGAGATTACTAAATGTATAAATTAAGTTTTAACAATACAAACATCTAACTGAACTTTAACTTATAATAAAACAATTACCCGATACAGTGATTTCAATATAATCAAGATTCTATTGAGGATGTCATCTCGTGCCTCACATAACACAGCTTCCGATAACATCTTGTAACATCCGTGATAATCGAATGGGACCCAATTAAGATAATTTAACTGAACTGGTACACCTCAGCGTTCAGCGAGCGTCTAATATTCTATATTGATGACTTTATGTTAATATTATGGTTAAATTCTTATAAAAAACATATTTGTGGGTATCATTATTTATATTCCATTATGTAGCGTAGTTGTTCGAGCGTTTATAACCCCACATAGTTTTTGTTTTTGCTTCAGATCTTAACTAAGTATCTAGGAAGTCTATAAATCGTTTCTTTTACGTTATTATATTAAATATTTACACCTTTTACTGTACATAGTGTTTTTATAGAGCTGTATTAACAGAGCGGACGCCTCAGCGACTATTAAGAGACTGCTGTTACAAATAAAATAAAGGCGGAGTCGTAAAAAAATTCGTCAAAACGTGCGTGTTTATTAATAGTATCTATAAAAAATATCATCGGGATGATAAAATTAATTGATATGTACATAGACATTTTCTTAATTTGTAGGAAACTCAGTTAAGATATTTCAAACATGTTTATCTTTTATCAGTGTTGTGTTTCAGCATATTAAATCGAGAAGAAATCTCTGTAAGTCTCAATGCGGTTTTCTGACTTTTATAATCAAACTAGGTTATTAACTGTCGCTTTCAATTTATGAAATGAAGGATTTTCTTTTAAACAACATATTATTAGATTTATTTGAATTTCATCATCAAGTAATATAAATAGAGTGATGCATGTAACTATAAATACGCGACTTAATTATCAAATATAAAATAACAACAGCTCGTCGCGTTAGTACTCCCCTGGGACAGAACGGGGCGGTGTGAGTACATTGTTTACTGACAAAATTACCACCTCCTTACTGCTAAATAATCACTTGTTTTGAAAACATTCTTTACATTACACTTTTACTGTAAAACTTTTATGTATTAGTGCAAATCAGTGTAAATAACCCGTTTGTTTTCTAACAAACAACGCACTCCAAACTCACATTGTAAAGTAATCTAATAAATGTAATGTTGGCATCCATTTGTTTACAATCAAAGGCCGTGGGGAGTATAGAACGTCCGATTCAATTGTAATGCAATTTGTCACCCGCTCTCTCGCCCTCGTGTTGTGACGACCCTACTACAAGAGGGTTGTAATTATCCTTCTAGATGTGAACAAAACAACACGCACTTAAATATTACACACACACACACAAAAGGATCACGAAAAAAAAATGTGATGATGAGGACAAATAGATCTGTGTAAATAAATGCCAAAACATATGCAGTTGTGTATTTTAATTTAATCATAAGAAATATTTGAATAAACCTATAAAACATGTTGATAAGATCTATTGGATGACACTAGAATATATGAATGTTCAGTCTCGGATCATTAGACGTGTAGTTCATAATAAGTGATAATATTAATTAATCTCGGGAGCTCTCTCCTCATCAGACAGTCCCGTATTTCGCACATTAGCGTCATCTCTCGTATAATGGTACTTGATCACGACACTCCACTCAATGGGAATCGTTCAGATTGTGAGAAACTACACGTGTCTGTAATAGTTAATACTGGTTTCGGTTTTATTTTGCGGGGATATGTGATTTATTATTTCAAATTATTATATTATGATTTCGTTAATTTTCTGTTACCAATTGCGGTAATGGATTTCATTAATAGGTTTAAATTAATTAATTATAATGGCTGATCAAAAAATACATATTTTAAAAAGTCCCAGATGTTCTAGTTAACAATTGTAACGATTACCAGGAGCTAATAGATTGTGAATATAATTCTATTCTCAGCTCATTAGTATTTGGTATGCGTAGGACGGTGTACGATAGCCAACAAGCTCACATAAATTCTAACAACTTCACAAGTTTTCTAAAAGATTCACAAACTGATTACGCTGAGTTATCTTTTAACTGCGTAGAGAATACTAGGAACGCAGAAGCTACGTGCAGATTAACTTAATATAAATTTTCACACGATCTCAATGTTTTTCGCATACTAAGCCAGCAGAGATACCTAGAATACTTTTACTAACGTATAAATAATCTTGAAGTGTGAATGTGTTTGTGAATCTCAAATAGATTGTTGTCTCAAGTCTAGCTTTATTTTAGACAAATAAAAAAAAGTGTTTTAAGATTATTTATCATATAGCATTTCTTTAGGTATCTCGGGGACGGACCAATGAGAAGACCGCTAGAATGAAAATAAAATGTTATCTCAATATATTGTTAAGATTTAACAAATCGTTTAAATCATTAAAAAAGCTAGTGAAAGGCGAATCGGCTTCAATCTATATATAATAAATGCGCCGTAAAATTGAGAAATCCAATAAGATGGTTATCAATATTATGTGGGTTCATGTACCAGGGCATCAGCGCCGCTGAGGCGGTAGATGGATATCGCAGCTCGTAAATAAGTCCCGGCCTGTGACAAGTGCACCCATTAGGAAACGGCGAAAAAAAGACGAACAGAAGATCGACCGACTTCTGTAGCGACAACACGAACAAATACGACTGTTTGAGTCGTATCAACGTTACCATTGTTCAGATATGTTACTTTGTTTGAGAAAGTTATTCAAACATATAAAGTATATATGTATAAAATTAATAGCAATTTTTTGTTGATTCTAGTACGTAAATTTTTGTAACAGTAAAATATTTTATCTTTATTTTTTTTGCTGTCCCTACACAGTAAATGCGAATGCTGGTGGATAGGAAATGTGAGTTACTATGAATCGTCACTGTACAGTTAACTAGTATCTGATTATCCGAGCACAGTAACGTTAGCACTACATAAAGTTTAACACCTTACTGTGTTGTCATTAATATATCTAATATTGTTTAATGTGACAAATTACACTATTTATTAAATCCGGATCCGCGGACGATGCTGTGTCCTTATATAATAATAGTAATTTATTTTATTTCGACTAATATTTCATCATTGTAAAGTGTTATAAAAATCAATGCAATTTTTGTAGCGTAAAGATAATCAATTTAGAATATTTATATTATAATAGTAGATGGAATATATTTTATTTTGGAAGCAGACACAAAGGTTTTGTCATATCAAGGGTACTAATAAATTCTCAAACTTTGATACTCTCATGAAATAGAGCAGTATACTAGACTCATAGTCTACATAACACCTTACGACATGTGTTGGTTAAACTATTACAAGAGATGTCATCTCGTGGGACACTCCTCGCCGTACCACTTCCACGTCTCTCATGGGAATGACGGAACGCACTATTTACGTTACATTTTATAGACCCACTATTTTATATCATACTGCAAATATAAAGCACGAACTGTTTTCTTTATACAAAATATATATACATTTTATAAAGATAAATATCCCACACTTCCCTTTACCTAAAAGGGACTCGGAATATATTATTATTGAATAACATTTATGGAAATCGAGCGACACGAGGAACGGAACGAAAAAATACCCGCTTCCAGAAATATATGTATGATGATGACAGGGAATTTATGAACCATTCAGGGTGACAAACTGCGACTCCGGACCGGCTCCTACTACACGAATGTAAATGTGACTCGCCAGTGATAAAATTGTGACTTTGTGAATATAAAATACTATACTGACGGAACAAGTCATATTAGTTTATGAAACTCGAAGATATAATGTGACTTTAGAGTCGAAGTATCGTATTTTTTGGACATTGAATCGATATAATAAGGATTAAAACAGCTTTCCTTTGTAGTTAAAATAGGGGGTGTTTTGTTCGAGTGAATATCGTTCGAGATGTCGTAGTAACAATTCCATTAATAGTTACCGGAGTCGATCCTCGACGGTGATGTACGAGTATTTAATTAGGACTTCCTTTGACGGCCACCGAGCTCACTCCACTGGAATTAGTTTAAACGCAATTTAATTATTGCTTGTTTTCTTTACCACGGACAGACGCACGGCGCGTTTATTTTTATTATTATTAAACAATTTAGACGTGACGAGGGCCGGTGGAAGGATAACATTATTATGTTTAACTGTTCATTAACATATCAAGAAAAGTGTTTAAAATATTAAACTACCAACAATATTTGTGACCTGAACTTATACTTGATTCGGGTTTAAGTTAATCTTTTAACAAATACATTTCGACGGTGAGTTTCGTATTGTTTTTTTTCTTATATTGAGTGAATATTTTAATTACAATGAACACCCTATATACATCAAAAGGTCAATGACCCGTTATAATAATATTCAATTTAATTCAAACATTCGACATTTTCAAATCAATATATTCACTATTTTTATAGCTTTTTATCAAATTATTGAATATTTATTTGGTCGCTGCCAAAAAGATTTTAACGACTCCTTCCACGATAAAAACTAAGATGTCGCTTAATTGAGATATTTTATTGAGATGCGATTGTGAATTGTCACTGATAAGGAATTATCATTAAAGATGCTTATTAAAATCATTATATTATATTAATATTTAAAAACTATTATATATTTCTTATTTATACTAAAATTTAGACAGTTTTTGTTACGGAACCACATGAATTAATTTACGCTGATATGTAGTTACTTGAATAATTACACGAACGAATTTAACTAGAGAAATTTATGAATACGTTATCAACAAAAGTAAATATAAATTAATCAAGTCAATTATGTTATGTTAATGTATTATATTCGTGTGTTGCTTTTATCAATTTCTTTGGTTTTAGGAGTTCATAATATATAAAAGATAAATTCTGTAAAAGAAAAACAGTCAGTAAACTTACTTGTACTCATTCAAGATATATTTTAGATATTAAATAAAAGGCGTATTATTTTCGTAAAATTTTGACTTAAAACAATAATATCAGAAAATAGTCCAGTATGTAGATAACTATCTTGTCATTTATTGCACCAAGTTTAAGGTTCAAAACGAATGCAACTCAAAAAAACATATAAGAACAGAATCACTTCTACCTCACTGGTAGTAAATCTATCTTAAGAATGATACGTAGTTTTGAGATACTAAAACAGTCCATAGGTCATAATCGTAAATTTCACACATTCACCACAGCGGGCTCGTAAAGAACGTCACTGTTAAACCGAGGATTCATCACACGTTATGATGTGATGGGGATGAGATCACACGATCATCACAGACAGTAGCTACCCACCACCTTAGGAATGTCAAGATATACTGATTATTATTTATTATAACAATTGGAGTTGCGTGAAGTGGTCGAAGTATAAAACAACACGCCATACGTCTATCATTTTAATTATTAAGCTGCGAACGAGTTAAAGAGTACGTTAGAAAGCAAATTTGAGTAATATTAAATACTAGTTTTCCGCTCGCAGCTTCACCCGCGTGTAGTTCGGTTATATCGCGTTTCCAAGAGATTCTTTCAAAAGTCTGGGATAAAAACTATCCTATGTTCTTTCTCAAGGTCAACTCTATGTCTGTACCAAATTTCATTAAAATCAATTCAGTGGTTTAGGCGTGAAAGCGTAACAGACAGACAGACAGAGTTACTTTCGCATTTATAATATTAGTAGGGATAAATCATTGTACAAATCACCACACATTACACGAACAACTACATAGTTTATAGTAAAGATTAAAAGTACAAGTATTTCAATGGATCGTCGATAAATTAACTAACAGCTAGTTAACAAGCGGTCAAAGATAACTGCCGGTTACGTTCGGTTCAAGTTTACGAGTTAATCGAGATTAATTCTCGTCCTTCTGATAACGGGGACTCGGGAGTTACTACATACTACTTTATCGGGTAGATTAGGTGTGTCGTACCTCTCTAGTTAAGCAGAGGTTACTTGTAAACAAACAGACATACATACATACATTGAGATATGAAAAATACTTAATTTTTATATATCTATTCACATACGATTTCGGTTTTTAATAGGAATAGTTCCACATACTGTTCCTCATGACATAACTTCTCTCTACCATTCGATGCTCATAATAAAAACACGATAAAATATAATAAGTAACGATTTCTACCTCATATAAATACAATAATTTAATGAGTAAAAAGACAATGAAATGCAAGATAATAATACATATATCTTAAAAACCCTTTAAATACACGAAACTAAGAGTGCGTATTTATTATGTAAATAAATATATTTCAATATTGTACTTCTACCGTTCTACTCAATGTATGTCTGTCTGTGAGAGTCCGTATTCATTCTATACATAAATTAGTTAATTCGACACACGTGTCGGGACACATGCGCCGGCGCCGCTCGCTTCCGGATTACAGGGAAATTAGACCTACCGAATAACATACACAGTCTTAATTGAATATCATTAACTTATTATTACAATTATCACGAAAATAAATAAAATTTAATATAATTTATGAATATAATATCTAAGAATAATCCAGGTTAGTCATGAAAGGGATAAAATATTGCTTTCTTTATTAAGTGACAATACTAATTTTAAGTGAAATAAACATTTGAAACGAACAACTGATCCGAATTTATGTCGTTCTTTTTAGATTACCAGGACTTATATATGTAGGACACACATGGACGTATTTTGTTGTTTTTGAATCAATAAATACATATTTATAATGAGTTTTAATACGCGTTATTTATTAATTTTTATTCGCAAACTCGTCCAAACTATTCATTGGACTTGTTCACTTTAAAAAGAAACAACAATTCTCGCTAATTAAACTGTTTCCATAAAACATAACTCCATAACAAAAACGTCAATCAAATAAAAGATAACCAAGTTAGCGTTGAAAGTGGGTGAATTTAAATTGTTATAATATAACGACTTTAATTACATACCGAACAGTGGCGGCTGTACCTTAAGTGCACTCGTGCGCTGAACCACCAATTCAAAAGTTTTAAAAAATTACAAAATATTACTTCATCTTTATTTTTAAATTACCATTTTAATATTTATTTTTTAAACATAAAAACGTATAAAAAATTAAGTTTTCTAATTATAGTCAAAAAGTTTGTGCGCTTTACTAAACTAATATCTCGTGCGCTTCGGCGAGTGCACGAGGACTGCTAATACATCTTGTATGAGATGCGCATCAATACGCCTGGCGCGTGAAACAAAAGATAGTTCATAGAAATGTACCGAGTAATGAGTCGGTTCTCGAGCGCCGCACGACGCGGCCGAAGGTTACCGAGAGCACCCGATGTATGACGTATTGGGACGTGATTGACATCTCGTTATGTTTTGTTGCATTTTCTAATTTTAATATTTTAGTAAAGTGCACCACCAGTTTTATAACCCACCAGCCGCCACTGATACCGAATAAAAAGTGTGATAAATTAAACGAGCGCTATCGCCGTGTGGCGAGGTGTGTGGAGGAACCAACACAAGTTACTCGCTTTATAACTATATCGAGGTGCATTGTTCAATATTAAATTTGTTTTCTTTAAAGGACCGCTAATAACGCTAACAAAAAGACATACACAGAGACTTTTATCTTTTATCTGGAATCTTTATAATAATTACAGCAGACGGGACGACTCAATCGACGCATAACTTTACAAATACAAATATGCACTAGGAACAAACTGTGCACACCGTAATCGTCTCTACCGCTAAAGCATTACAGTTGAACTTTGAATTTACGAATAAGACTTTAAAATGCATCGGTGTTGTACTCCTGAATCCAATTATCGTACCGCGGACCGAAATATCTTTGCATTGCAAGAAAAATAATTATTGAAAAAAAGTTACGTGTCGCGCAACCCTAAATGTTAAGAATATTTTTGCGTCATTGTAAATTAAGCTTTATTGCGTGTCAGTAGAGTCGAAATCGTGTTGTAGAATGTTTGTGTAGTAGCGTCCTTTGTTTCCAGGAGTTTTCCCTCGACTGGGCGGCGCGTGATCCCCTCTTCCAGTTCCCAGGGTGGACCGCTGTCAGTCGCTCGCCGGCGGTGGGGGAAGACAGATGTTCTTTAGGAGCCATCTCTCATACAACACGATACCGAATCCAATACACAATAAATACGACCGCGAGCTCCTCCACAGTCAAGGCGTCCGATTATGAGAGTCGATTCGTTTTTTTCGTATGTAGTAGGTACTTCTGATCTATTTCCGTGATGACACGACCGACATGCGGACAGTTTAGTCGTATTAATAATGGGCGCACGTTGTGTTAATACATCCATCGTAAATTAGGCAGCCTCTAAGAGCCATATGTTCAATGAACGTGATTTTAATAGTCCATGATCGTTGATCGTGACTCGAGTCTCCGTCGTTGGGTAACCTTAATATATGCTACGTTCCTCTAATTATTTTATTGGTCGGTTCCAGTCTACTGTATATTTATTCATTCTCATGAACACAGTTCATGATCAATAATATTCCGCTCACATCATTTTCATGATAACGACCGCTTGGTCAAGGAAATAAAAATGCGTTTCTGTTGTATAAAATTAATACTAACATTATTCTGTTTTATATAATGTAGATGTTTTGCTCAAATTATATGTAAAATAAAGGAATAAATAATTCGTGATCAGTACCTAAGAAAGAAATATTTATAAGTGAAACTTAAAAACATTTGTTACATTTTCTAATTCATATTAAAGGCCTGAATAAACACGACTAAGATAGAGCTCAACGTGATCGGTGGCACGATATTAGCGTTAAAGGTTAGGCTTTAAGGGGTGCGGACATCCGGCGGAAGTGGGCGGAGTTTCAACGTAGCCATTTTGAAAACGCGGCACATGCGCCGACGGAAACGGGTTGGGAAGGTAGTGTAGAAATATATACCTTAATAGTTGTAACTAAAAAGATTAAGAGAAAGAAAGGTCCATATTAGATTCCTACATAATATAGACCATAAAAATGTTCGATTGGGTAGAAAAATATGTACCAAAAACATGTACAACTCGATAGTTCGCTACCAACCTGATAGACCCTGAAATAGAAAATTCCTATAGTAATATTCAACATCTTCGATAGTTCTAAGTGAAGTGAACATATGTATCAGCATCCAGGTACGAAGCGGCCATGATACGAGCGAGGACATCGTAAATCAGTGAGACTGGAGCTATCCATCACGACGCCGAGCGCCATCAATTGTGTACCAAAATAGGCAGTCATTTGAAGGGGCGACGAATGAAACAGAATCACTACCTTACAAGATATTAACGATTATCTAGATAGAGATGGAACTAATCAAATAATACACACCATCAACAATAATACACCTTTTTGTTAGGTCCCGTTAAAGTGATGATAAAGAATATTATAATATTTTTTATAATTATTAATTAAGAGTTACAAGTTTTAATGACCGTATCAAGTTACTGATTTTAATGTAAAATAAATCTATAATTTCAAATTGGTTGAACAATTATACGGTACTTATAGGTACGTAATAAATAAATGGATTTTATTATTATTTGTAATGCATACCATACTCATAATATTCGTCAGAAAAGTTGATTTTATTTGGGATGGCTACTACAACAAATTATTAAATAATGGATATTATGGAAATGAAAACAATATTGTAGTACAAAAAATAGTATACTAGGTACTTTTGTTCAGTTTTTAGTAACAAAGTAGCAATTTATTGAAAATCTAATTAATGCGTTTACGAGTACCCAAGTAGAAAAGGAACCAAATAACATTAAATAAAAAAAAATCATTTTGAAATTTGCGAAATAGAAATGAAAATAAATTTTCAAGCAATTGTCAAAACCGTTACGGGGTACATATATAGTTAGGTACTCATAGAAATGCTTTAAATGATTTTAAAATTTTATTGCAATATACAAGAACATTAAAGAGATGTAACATTAAAGAGATGTTACCTTAAGAGCAATGACATAAAATTTTATTATATGACTAATTTACATATTAATTACAAATATAAAATAGTTAATAAATAGTTTGGAACAAGGAATTTAATTATTAGACTTTCTAAAACCGTAAATCGATTACATTAAAAATAAAAAAGATTTACCGCAAGTTATTTTACAGATTTCACGAAACAGTCTTGTAGGGGAAGTTGCGGATGTATGAATAATTTATAACACGAATTATAATATTATATGAAGCCGATTCTAAAAATTAACAGCGAAATTTGTCTCTATTTGTATGGAAAAATATACATATATGTATATGAAACACATGGCGAGACGAAGATGTTTGATATGAAAAGTTATGACATTCCCGTCAACATCAAATTAGATGAGGCGTCATAATTGATAACATGAAAAAAAAAAACGAAAAACGGCGAAGACGTCGTCATTAATAGCGAGGAGCTCATCCCGCTACTGAATTAACGAGGATCATTCTAAACCGATCAAATAATTACGAGCCATTCGACCTCTGAATACCTATCGCGGTGAGGCGGAGTCGTGGCGCGATCAATACCGCGGGGTATAGCTAAGTACACATACAGCCGCCGAGATGAATAGCTCCGTCTCTGTCCCGTGGGGAGGAAACCACGCAGGCGCAAGCGGGAGGCGACGCCTCTCGTCCGTAGTTTGCGTGGCCCTCCTCGTGGGCGTTGACTGCTCGCTCACCGTTCGCCCGGTAGCCGGTCGTGTTCAGTCTGTGAGCGACTCCGTCCGGTGCGCGTGCGTGTGCCGGCCATGATCACCGGCTGAGCGGCCACCATGCTCGTGCCCCCTGAGATGATGGCGGCTCAATCCAAACTGGTCTACCAGATGAACAAGTACTACAACGAGCGCGTCGCCAACCGTAAGGCGCAGATCGCCAAGACTATCAACGAAGTATGCAGGATAGTTCAGGATGTACTCAAGGAGGTGGAGCTGCAGGAGCCCCGGTTTATTTCCTCCTTGACGGATTATAACGGGCGGTTCGATGGGTTGGAGGTGGTTTCTCCTCACGAGTTTGAGATCATCATTTACCTAAACCAGATGGGGGTCCTCAACTTCGTGGACGACGGCTCCCTGCCAGGCTGCGCCGTGCTTAAACTTAGCGACGGAAGGAAACGTTCCATGTCCCTCTGGGTGGAGTTCATCACAGCCTCTGGATATTTGTCCGCCAGAAAAATACGTTCAAGATTCCAAACGCTGGTCGCGCAGGCCTGCGACAAGTGTTCCTATCGTGACTGTGTTAAAATGATCGCCGAGACGACGGAGGTGAAGTTGAGGATCCGCGAACGATACATAGTGCAAATAACGCCGGCTTTCAAATGTGCCGGCTTGTGGCCTCGCTCTGCGGCGCACTGGCCCCTACCGACCATACCTTGGCCGCATCCTAACATCGTGGCCGAGGTCAAAACTGAAGGTTTTGATTTACTTTCTAAAGAGTGTTTGACTTTGCAAGGAAAGAATTCCGCTATGGAAGGCGACGCGTGGGTGTTGAGCTTCTTTGAAGCTGAAAACCGACTCCTACAAGGCGGTTGTAGAAAGAAATGCTTGAGTATTCTGAAAACTATAAGGGACAGGCATCTTGATCTGCCCGGGAACCCGGTGACATGTTATCACATGAAAACATTACTTTTATACGAATGTGAGAAACACCCACGAGAACATGAATGGGACGAAGGCGCTATAGGGGACAGAATAAACGGAATATTCCTCCAGTTGATATCCTCACTCCAGTGCCGCCGATGTCCGCACTACTTCCTTCCCCACGTGGACTTGTTCAAAGGCAAGTCTCCAACAGCAATGGAAAACGCCGCGAAGCAGGTCTGGCGGCTGACGAGAGAGATGCTCACAAATTCGAGGGCCTTCGAGAAGCTTTGAGGAGTTGTGTGGAGATGTGAAGTTTGTATGTGATGTGTTGTGTCGCTGATCCTCGAGTCATGTAATGTGTAGTCTCGTTATGTAGTGCGTTAGTATGTAAGAGTAGCGCGATAGCGACCGGTCGGAGCGGACAGACAGTAAGTAGAAGTGATACTTCTAAAGTTACGTTCATTCAAATATTATTTGTGATATAATGTAAATAGCTTACTTATTGTACAATTTTAGTGATATTTATTTCGATGGAAGCGAAAATTCGTGTATTTATTTGACTGAAATCTTTTAAAGTAGGTGTATAATCTATATTATAATAATAAATATTTCGAAACTATATTTACTCTTTTTATTGCTCGACCGACGACTCTTGCTGTATCACAAAATTATTCTTAACTGTTCATTTATCTTTATGTATCCAATATTGTATAGATGAGTATTTTATTGCCGTTCCGAGATCTTTTAAATTCAACTTCTTGCTAGAATTTTAATTTATAGACAATAATAAAACTTTATATCTAGTACGAGTGTGCAGTTAACATCACTTTACTCAAAGATACCTACTTATTTTAATGTAAGTATGGCCATACAAAATTATATTACTAGTCACAGTATCAAATAACCATTCCTATTAAATATAAATAGCATATTATCACCTGTAATAAATATCTTACATGTATATTCTTTGTATAACATTATTTATGTTGTCAAAGGACATTAGTTTATTTGTATATTAAATCTTTTAAGCAAATTAATTAACAACGAGCTTCGAGATATCTCAATATTATTTTCCATTTACTTAACAAACCAGGAACACCATTACCGCTATATGACGCTGGATTAATTTAAATACAATTGTATATACAAGATATATTTAAAACAATAAAAATTATAATACTACTTAATATTAGTACCAAATTCAAATTATACGTATACTAGAATAAAGAATAGTAAAATATTATAATAATACAACATTAAAAAATATATATATTTACATATGTATATTCTGAATTTATAAAAATATGGGCAGTCGTCATCACAGTTAAGAAAAATCTCATTGATAGAAAAAAAAATCAATCAAGGAATCGTAAAATCAATAAAATATACCGTCTGTATGTTTTTGTTTTGTTAATGTATATATAAATCTATTAACATATTATTACTGGAGTGTAAATTAATCGTTTGTGATTTATGTGAGTTTTATTAATAACATTAAGTTTTTGTTGTTGGTGTGTTCGTACATATTTTATTTAAGAACTGGTTGACATTGTTACCTTTGTACCTACAACATAATATATGTATATACATATTTAAAACTATTTTTTTATAAAAATGTAATTAAAAGTAAACTCTATTTATATATAGATCTTTAAATTAAAAAGCATTATGATTCATATATTGTAATAATTAAGTCTAAAAATATTTATCTTCGACTATCAGCTCCTAGTAGGTACATATCATTCAATTTTTTGTATTTTATAATTATATATTTTTTTATTATTATTATTGAATTTAACAATACCTCAAAGTAATACCGAGCGTCAGGGACATCAAGAGTAGGTATGTTTGGAAGTCGACATTTTTTGTACAATGTTTAATAAAGCATACCAACTGAATGTTCGTTCATGTAAAATAAAAGCAGTCCGGGAATTCAATCCGCGGGGCTGGTGTCGTGTTACACGACCATATATTATAATGACTCTTGAATAAACTATTCCAACGTATAGCACAATATATATACATATATAGAGAGAGACGCCTCAGCTACAAATTACTATTAACATTTCTTCTACTACGAATTAATTTATTAAGTTTAATAAAAATACAGACAAAAAGTAACTCTATAATGTATAGGATAACACTAACATAAATGGTATTTTAATTTTTAATATTTTAATTTGAATCATCGTTGTGTTTGATAGACGATTGAAAATGCTCATTAAAAGTCTCCGCTTTCAATTTAGACTGGCGCAAAATCTATGAAATAATTGCACCTAAAAAATAACCTAGTAGATTGATTTCAATTTCCAAATAGAACCTATTCTATAACAGGTACAAGGATTCTTAGATAAGGGATATCAATTTAGGGTGGACATATAAACGTGCCCAAATAAAGCTAACAGTGAAAGTAGTTCGTTACAAATACTACATATATGTTCTTTATATATATACTAGCTTTCCGTCCGCAGTTTCACCCGCGTGGAGTTAGGTTATGTCGCGTTTAAAAGAGAACCTTTCAAAAGTCGTGGATAAAAAGTATCCTATGTTCTTTCTCAACGTCAACTCTATCTCTGTACCAAATTTCATTAAAATAAGTTCAGTGGTTTAGGCGTGAAAGCGTAACACACAGACAGCAAAGTTACTTTCCGATTTATAATATTATTAGGGATAAATGTCTTTATATATAGTCGTATATGTTAGTAACCTGTGTTATCCGTGTGTCTCTCCGCCGGTCGTTACCACCTACGCGTCTTGTTTTTAGCTTTTGTCCTCAAATTTACGATCACATCAAGTTAAAAATTTAACATTTAATATTAAACACGTTTATGTACGAACACTAGTAATATTTATTTGCATAATGATAGGATCAATTAAAAAGATTATATATAGTCACTCTATTTATAACATGGAGCAATCTGTACTGTCCATTTGATATGGTCAAAAGTTTACAATTTTATTGTGTCGTCACAGAACTTGTAAATAATTAAAAATATCGAGTCATATTTATTTGCGCATAAAGTAAAAAGAAATTCTATATATTTAAAGAAGATTTCCATCACAGGCTTAACAAGACATTGTTTTAGATTTGTTATATGCATTACCATTTGTAAAGTTCATTAAAATGCCTTTAAACCTTAGTTCGTGAGATCGAAGCTTACTCACTAAGCGTAGGTGTCGGGACTAACTATTTGAGGCAATACAAATACAGTATTATAATATACTTAGTAAAAAATATTGAACATACTCTCAAAGTATTGTATTATTAATATGTATATGAGTAAGTTTGTTGGCAACTTACATACATATACCTATGTTGACTACATAGTGTAACTCATACCTTTTTTGTATTGAATTTCTTAAAAAACTAAAAATATAAAATAAAAAAGCCTCAGATGAGATAAAAAGTATATAAAAAATGAACAAAATTGACACAATCAACAGATAACCGAACACTTAAAACAATCAAGAAGAAGATAGTTTTAATAATAAAAATAAAACGAATACTTCTAGGGATATGACAGACATACAAGTATCTGAAATGATTCAATTCAGAAGTTTAAAGGGTTCTAGACTTTAATTTTATGTACGTCTTAAAATTAACATTACCTAGCGTTTAAGATAAGACGAACGATTCGACTGAGATAAGAAGATTATATGAGAGTATGATCGTCCAGTTTAAACATAGGAAGGTAATAGTTGTATACAGTAATGACCAATGATATTAACGTTCAGAGATTATTGAATTGTTCTTGTTTTGGTTCATTAAGATACGCAGACTGACTGGTATACTGTACTTAGGGTGTATTATGATAATATACATACATATATAAATTCAATTTAGACTACAGAAAACTAAAAATATATTCGAATAGATTAATACTTTATATTGACGTCAATAAAGATATTTTTGTTTGTATATCAAAAAACAAGACTATTATATCAAAATGTTTGTATTGTAACCATAATGAGGGGGTTGGATGGGGCGTGGGGTACGTCACAGCGGGATGCTGAGACGATCACATTGTAGAGATGAAACGAACAATATGTGAGAAGTTTTGTATGCATTATATTATGTGTGTTACCTTAATACCAATATTAAAGCCGTAGTGAGATCTAAAATTTTCGCGTATTATTTATTTAAATGAAACTAATATTTTTCGGATGTACTACGCAATTTTATTTTTCATAAAAAAAAGCGGCGGGAGTACCTACAATGTAGTTCTTTATCAAAAAAAAATTTCGTAGTACACCCGAAAAATATTAGTTTCATTTAAATATTAAAGCCGATATTACTACGATGATTTTTTTCTACTATCGCAATACTCTACATTCAGAGTCCTTTTAATCCTTGATCAAATTATATACATATTTAGCCAGATACTCATTAAGTACTTTAAAAGTGATATTTGTTAATAATTACTGTATAAAAAACAAAGGCATGAAAAACTAACAATATACTGATGAGTTATAAACAGTATAAAAAGATGTTATGAGATCTATGACTTTCGCGAGTATTCATTTAAATGAAACTAATATTTTTCGAATTAGTATTCGTATTTTATTATTTAACCGTGATTACGGTTGCTACAAATTAAATCGAAACCTAGGGAGTATATAGTTTATAAAAATAATAAAATACGCGTAGTAGGTTAATCCGAAAAATATAAACTTTTATTTAAATAAATAGATATTTTATAAATAAACTAATTTACTAAATGTTACTATAATAGACGAAATAACTGAGATAACGTTAATATTCTAACTCCGACATAAGATGAGTAAAATGGTATAAATGTAGGCAGATACAATTAACAGCCAATTACAGATATCGGTCGTTAATACGTTCAGGGATTTATGAGATGCGCGTGCGCAGCCCGAGATGAGTCCCCATACCAACTATAAATGGCATCGTTTGAGATACATTCGACTATTTAAATAGTTATTTACTTGTCCTCGCTTTGAATTCTATTGTGATTTAAAATTCCTTTTGAAAATTAAATGAGGGAAATAAATTAATAGGAATGTGAATATTGTTATGTGAAGTAAGGTTCGTGTTTAGTTAAGTCAAACATACAAAGAAAATGCAGATGATATGTCTTAGTATATGATGTTATATTTAGCATACATAAGAAATTAATAACTTAACAACATATAATATAATACATATATAATATATAGACCGATATCACACTATATATATAAGTCGTCTCTTGATTTCTATCGTGATATTTTTTGTAGAACGATTTTGTGTTGGTGACTTTCTGATATTAAGACAGACAGAATGTAAG